AGTTTGGGTGTTACACTGCTCTTACAGCAAGGAGAATATAAAATATAGAAGGAAGAGTCCATATACATAAGCAACTGAAGTTATACAGGTAACAATGTACAGAAATATGTATAAACATATTCCTACACTGTGGGTGTTAAAAGTCTACTGCTGAATGAGCAGCTCAGTGCTCATGCAGGGGATGGGAGGTATTGTCCACGATGGATGTCAGCTTAGACAACATCCTCTCCTCTCCAACCTGCTCGATGGACTTCAGCGGACAGTCCAGGACAGATCTGGTCCTCCTGACCAGTTTGTTGAGTTTCCCCATCCCTCTCTGCCACTCCACCACAGTGTCGTAAAAAGTCCTTAGAAGAGTACTTACAGTACTATATGTACTATAACATATAGAGGAACTTCTGGGCATTATCTTTTGATTTCCTTTCTCCGTTGCTATAGTTTCAGGTTTTGCAGCATTTTTGAGTCAAACCAATGGCAACTCTAAGCCACTCCCATTACAAGGTGCATCCTTTCCTATATTCCTTATCACAGGTGCACACAGGGAGTCCAGCAAGACCAGGTAAGACCTTCCACTTTTCTACAATGAATTTTACATCATTTACCGTTTAGTGTGATTCCTTTATGGTTCACTGTGTAATATTGGATGTATAACGCTGTAGGAGATGTGATGACAGAGGGACTAAAATGTATGTAAGTTTATGTAAATTGATACATTCTTAGAAAGAGATGAGTGTTTGTTTATTATTGACGCTCTGTATTGGTAACTGTTTATCTGCAAAGGTGAATTATATGCAGGGCTGCAGACTGTAAGCTGTCTTGTGTAGAGGTCAGTTTATATTGAACTGTACTCTCAACCTCGTGACTGTTTAAAATGAACTTGGATGTTTTAGGAAAGTCAGTGTTTTACCTCGTGGTGTTTCTGGTGTTTTTCTGTCTGACGCTGTTGCGTTTTTAATGCTCAATCTTAGTCTTTGGAATCAAGGATGCATAAATCAGATTTAACTGAAGAATTACAGACAATGAACTTTTCATTTCATTTCTCCGAGCCTATAGTTTCAGTTTGTTTGTGTTTATTCAAACATAAAAAGATGCTGCTTCTAATCAAAGGAACTATGTAATTTTCTGAGGTAGAAAGCTTTTTTTTTTTTCATGTATATATATTTGAATTGTAGCCAACATACAGTACAGTGTTCTTCTTCTTTCTATTTTTCGTAGTTAATCTTAGCGATCGCTGGAACAAATATTTTAAGAATTTAAGGTTTCTGATGAACAAGCTTTGCTACAAGGTGCTCCAGAATCTAATCTGATCATCTACTGCCTCGATGTCCTACACAACAGACGGTTCTTTCTGCAGATGCATTTCTTTAACTTTGGTTTACCCGCTCCTCTACTTTCACAGAGCAATCCTATAGCATCTTGGCACACAATGGCAGAAAAACCCTTGACAGACTGGGACAGTGGTCTTTGTGACTGCTTTGAGGATGCACGTACTTGTAAGAAGCCAGTTAAATTTGATTGACTCATAAATTGTATTTGTGTTTTCAGGACTACAGGTTTTTTCTCATTTGTATCGTCTTCATCTTTTGAAACTTGTTACCACTTTATTGATGTGTTTCTCTGTTTTTCAGGTTGCTATGGTTTCTGGTGCGGCCCCTGCCTCGCCTGCACTGTTTCAGGAAGATTTGGAGAGAACAGCTGTCTCCCCTTATGTGACATACTTGGTTCTGCTGTATTAGCAGCCTTTGGGATACCTGTTTGTGTTCCTCCAGCAGTTTTGTCTGTAAGGGCTGCCATGCGAAACAGATATGGCATCAAGGTATGAAGCGCAAGACGATGACATACTCTGAACTAAAAGTGGAGAGAAAAAGCAAAGTAATGCTTGTATTCTCTTTCTGCAGGGCTCTCTCTGTAAGGACATTGCAGTTTCCTGTTTCTGCGCCTCATGCTCCTGGTGTCAGATGCATCGTGAGTTAAAGCATCGCAAGAAAACCCCGATTGTAATCACTATAGAGAACAACACCGTTTACAACATGCAGCCTGTTCCAGTTGCCCAGCTACCAGTAGAGATGGTGTCTGCACAACCACCCACAGCTGGTTTTGTTGCTTAACTCACAGTGGCACTGCTCTGAGTTAGCTTTAATGTATTTATCAGTGAAATCAGAGCCTCTAACAATTTTTAATTGAATTGTATGATCAATTATTTGTATTATTTTCCTAATAATGCAACATTTTTTCCTTTAACAGTTATATTTTGAGAAATGATGATGATAGTGAGAGTTGGTGATTCACTATAGTTCTGAGATTCATTTAGTAAAAAATAGTAAAATGACAAAATCAGATACAAAGACGAAATCAAAGTTTCAGGGCTCATTTTTGTAGCCAACTATGGCAAAAGTCCATCATAAAACTTTTCTTTCAGACTTTATACTGATGTTTGATGTCATGCAGTTCGTCCAAATTATTTCCATTTACACATCGAGAGGAGCTCAGAGTTCCTGCTACAACAAAAAAATAAATAATAAATACAAGTTAGCAGAACACAAAAGACTGAATCTGGAAGAAGAACGAAAAAGCATCAAACTAACCCCAGAGATGTCTATATGAGTAAACTAATTATAAAAAGGATCCTTGGCTTAGGGGCGGTTAATTTCCTGCTTATACCAGGTAAGCTACCAACAGGTGCTGGCAAGTAATTAGTTCTTTGCTGCCTGTTGAAAGACAAAAACATGGTAGCCAGCAGCAGGAAAAGGATTGTAATGACAGGATACAAAGTCCTTTATTTATCCCGTATTTGGGAAATCAGTTTGTTAGAGACAGTACTCTGCTGCCCGTCTAATAAGTGGTGCCGAAGGTGGTCAAGTCCCAAATGCCCAAAATAAATGAACCAAAAATTCAAACACAACAAAACACCATGTCTTGTTTCTTTTGCTGAAATACTTCAATAATTAAAGCCCTCTTCAGTCTGTTTCTTCCCTGATTTATATTTAAATGGCCTATTCTGAAACCTGCCACTGGAAAAGAAACGAGAAAGTCAGAAGAATATATTTGAAAATATTTTATCTTTTTGAAATGTCTCTGGAAGCTGCTCTCTCGGTAACATGCTTTTCCAATCCAAACTGCTTTTTCTCACTCAAGCTCATAGCTAAATAATTTCTGCAACATTAATTTCATCTAAAGAGTAAAAATCATTGTTTGAGACAAACTTCAAAGAGCCAGCACTCTGGTCTCAGTAGACACACACTCATTCCTCCCAGCGGGCCGCAAACCTGCTCTACAGAATCATATTTTAACATTATCAGCAACTGCCATTCCAGGGATCTGCACCACAAACGCCCGCAACAACTGTGTGGCCCAAGCATGGTGTAGATTGTGCAAGTGTGTGTTGGCATAGGATTTATTTGGTCTGTTGTCTCCACATTTGTCTTCAACCCACTAGCAACTTTTCCTTGCAGTATTTTAGCGATTGACTGAGGAACACCAGTACAACTGGTAGACAGCACTGCCAGTCACAACAACTCCTCCTAGGGCTTTCATTGTAAGCTAAATCAATGTACACGCCTTGCCCTACATTGAATGGAGGGCCAGGTGTGTCGGCACATGGAGCAGATGCCGTCACACCTTTCTCAGCCCCATAGTCAAAAAACAGCATCTATCAAGAAAGGAGATGCAGAAACCAAAGAATATGAGAAAACAATTGACAGAGAAAAGACTGACTTGGCTCCACTCATACTCACCCAGCATGCAATGCAAGGGAGAGAGAGAGAGAGGTAGAGAGACAGAGACAGGTATAAGGAGTTGTTATCAGTCACTATTTTAATATATTTGATTAAAACCCAAGCAAAGCAGGAGCCAATGGTATAGGGCTGAGTGTTGGTCAAGTTACTTGAAGAAAGTAATATAACTAATTACTGATTACTTCCAACAAAAAGGAATCCTGTTACTTTACTGATTACTTGTTTTCAAAAGTAATTAGTTACTTAGTTACTTTTTAAAAACATGATTTACAACCTGAATATGTAATAAAAAAAATAGATCTTTCAGCCCAATTCTACTTTTTCTGCACAATCCATCATATAAAATTTAATAAAATGAAGTCTCTTCTTAAAACTTGTTTTATCAGTTTTAATCTTTTAACTTTATGCATCAAGCAAAAATGTAATTATCTGCAACATTCTCTGACTGGAAGAAATTAGTTTAATATTTAAACCTATTTTCTGCACATTCCAGCACATAAAATAAAATATTTCTTTGTGTTTACACTCAGTCTCTCAAATAGATGCAAGTAAAACACAGCAGAAAATAAATAAAATCAAAGACCTGCAGTCCTGTTGCTCTATTTTTACCTGTATAGCAGGAGTGGGGCGGGCGGAGGTTTGCCCTGGTGCAGATGTGTCGTAGCCGTCATGTTAGTGGAAGGATCCGGGAGTTCCTCTGTGAACATCACATTCCCGTGGCAGCGCACTCGGTGCTTGTTTGGAAGTTTAGGGG